ATTTAACGACTTTTTGTTGGTGTTTTTTTGTTTGTTTGTTTGTTTGTTTTTTCTTTACAACCCATTATTTTGTGATATGTTTTACATGCTTGGAAATAAAAATGTTACCAGCTTTCCCTCTTCAGCAAATAAGATGGGAGCAGACAACGGACCTCAATCAACGTAATGGTTGTAAAAGAATGTAAATGAATTCGTAAGAGGTGGGAGAGGGCAGAAGTATTTGCAACATGCATTAAAAATGGTTTTAGGTATTTGCATTTAATTTTAATGGTGTTTATGCCCCCTAGTGCCAGAAAGCGCTATTGCACCTCGTTGTTCCGAATATTGACAAGCTTACTTTTCACGTCAGTCAAAATTATTTGATCTTTCTAAAAATGCACATCCTCGATTTATTTTTACTATATATCTCCTGCAATTTGAGAATTTATCTGCTGAGATTATTGGATGTTTGGGGATTTTCTGCCTACGGTAAATGATTACAAATTTGCATTTCTAGTCTCTGAAGTGCATATAAAATAATCACTACATGGAAATAGAAATATTCTTTTGATTATTTTACCCTCCAGAATACATTTGATTTTCATTTGAAAAAGAATGACTCCTGAGTTCAAACAAACAGACATTTAAAAAGCAGCAGTATCATTCTCATTCATAAAGATTGTTAAAGGAAAGACCTCTGCTCAGGGAAAAATGACTGAAGGGTATGAGATGTTTCAAATAATGACAGATCTTCTGTCTTAGATTGAACAAGAAAAAAAAAAAAAAAAAGCAGTCATCATTAGACTCAGTAATAAGACAAATATCTGAAGATGAGAGAAATACTGATTCAGATTTTTTGAATTCTCAGTATGCAACATTGGGTGTATTATGCTCAACAGTTAGAAAAGCAGTGGCAGGTGGGCATCTGTAGGTTAGCTCTGAGGTAGTAATATTTTGGGGTACAGAATGGGCATTTGTAATTCTAAATACATCCATTTTTCCCAAGCTCCTACAAAGCCCACCCTTCTGTGTGTGGTTCAATCTGCATTTCAAGCCTCCACATCTGTCATGCAAAGCTATAAGAAATCATGCCCCTGTTGCTCAGGTTAAAGATCCAGTGTTTATTTTCAAGACTTGCTGTCTTCACTTCCAATATAGAATTAAATATGCAGACATGTTCTATTGCCTGTTGAATACAAACAAGTGGGACAAACATACATTCCATTAAATCCATCCATCTAGTCTATCCCTTAGTGAACGGAGAGCCATGGACTGAAGCAGTAGCACATGTCTGACCTGTCTGGACTATGTCCAGTAAAACCAATGCATTAATTTGATCACATAGTTTCTGACTTGTGATTTGATAAAACTTGACTGACATATCTAGTTTGTCACATCCTTTTCACTTCCTTTTTTGGGTAATGTTGAACGCCTCTGACAGATAACACGGATAAACATGGCATCTCTTTTTCCTCACTTCATCCAGGGTTTACAATATTGTGATGACACTTTTGATGTTGCAAAATTAGATTGTCAGTAGAAATCATAAATGCCCAAAGACCAACATGGGCTTTGGCCACAATGAGACATAAATGGAACAGACTATATATAAAGCTATGAAAAGATTGATTGAAACTTGGGAAAAAAACCCAAAACACTTACAGGAGAATATGTTTGCAGTTACAGTCCAAATAGCAGGGAGACAAGCAGAGTAATTCTACATAAAACCCTGAAATAATTTCCTTTTGAGAAGTTTCTCTATGAAAATTTCCTAGTAAAATTCAATGTTTGTTGTGTTTCCATCACTGAAGAGATCAGATTTGTGGCAAAAATCAACATTTGTCTTACAGATCAAGTGTAATTTTTCCACTTTGAAATACAAGAACCACAAAGCTAAATCTAAAATTTGAGTTACTTTTGTGCAGATTTTCCAAGGAAAGTTACAAATGACATGAAAGGAGAAATTTTCCCTTCGTTTTCTGTCATCCACTTCCATCGATGATACTCACTGATATACGAAGTACAACTAAAGGTAAAATTTAACCAGCAGGAGGAATTTCAATAACAATTTTAGTCATGCTGCTGCTAGACTAAAATCTGTGCCACTGTCCCAAGGGAGAGCAAGGCTAGTCAGGGTAGTAAAATCTCCTTTAGTGAATGAACATATTTCTCATGCAGTACAGGTAGAGTAATGTCTTGGCAGTCATATTTTCTGAACGTAATTTTATCTAAACCTCCCGAAAACTGTTTATCAACAAGAGAAAAACTAATTATGTTTGGATTATTAAAGATGTGAAAAGCATTATTAGCACTAAACAGTGGACAAACAGCATTACTTTTGGAAAATGTCACTGTAGTACAATTCACTCAAGCTGAAAAACAAATAAAAGCAAGTTATTTCAAAATAGGTGATACATCCATTTACCTTTCATTTTGCTCAGAAATGATGAAAAACATTGTAAAATACCTTCACATATCAAACAACTTTTTTTTTTCTTGTTTTGTTTAATTCCATAACACTGAAATACCATGAAAACCTGTCTCCTCATATTCCAAAGTAGGTCACACATAAATAGTGAAATTTTGGAGATATATCTGCTATAATTCCCATCACCATGCCTAAAACATCAGTTTGTGGTTAATTCACCTAATTATGGTGTCACATATTCAGCAGGGTGGTATAACCCTGAGCAACTTCAAACCAAATTAGAGCTAGAAATGCCTTCAGTCCACAGCAGCTATTGGTGGCAATATAGGCTTATGACGGTTCAGCACTTTCACATTTCAAGTGATAATTTTAGTTATCTAAATATAGGCTTAGTAATCTAGTTTGATAGGTCTGTCCTAATAGTACTAGATGTGTATAAATTTTGTATTTCAAGTTCTGATTGCGTCAAGTGTGTGTAAATATATCCTGCCTTCTGAATAGCTTTCTGTTGATACATTTCAATTCAATTTCTGAAAATACTTGGGTCACAGCCTAAAGGAAGAAGCAAAGCACTGACAGTCCCTGTAACCCAATAATGTTTACCACTGGTCTTATCCTAGGCCTTCCCTTCTAAGCAAACTTCTGGCCACCCATCACACCCAGGTGCTCACAGAGCAGCATGGAGGTGCTGGGCAGACCCTCCAGCCCACAGCAGCCCTGTGCTTCTACTCATTCACCACTGCTGAAAAAAGCTGGGTGCAGTAGTCAGGTGTCAGGGATCCCATTCAGGAAAGGGACCTCAAAAAGCTGATTGTCCACCCGCGTGCCCAACAGTTGTATGTGTATCAACCTCTGAGAACAACTGGTTGGCTTAGGAAGAGAAGCACCAAAAGTATCCTTTGTTGTAAGGCGCAAATGTTAACAGCTTAGTAAAGCTCTCTTTCCAGTGTTCTTTATTTTATACATCCTGTAATTGAGACAACCTGTAGCATTAACTTAGAAGATGGTTTCTATTACATGATGTCATTTTATCCACTCCTGCATGTCACAATATCAGCAATTATCAACACTGAAATTCCGAGGGGGTGACTATTCTATCAGTACAAATATTAATATACTTTTCTCCTTGAATGTTTTACACCTGGGCATGCCTTATAAAGCAGCTAAACATTTATTTTACACAACATAGCCACGGTCAATAAACTAAGACTTGGCCATCTATATTATGTCTGCCTGGATGAACCTTATTTGAATCTTTGAGTTAAATACCCTCTTCTTATCTTACAAAATTCAAGTCATTCATCTTCACCCACAAGGTGATATATGATCTCCTTCACACACAGGCTGAGCTCTCGTTGCTAGAAAGTGTTCTCTAACCATGGTTAGACAGTCCCTCATCTCATGATTATGAACACAATTTGGACCATGTAATTTGAAGACTCCACCCTAACTTCTCTGTTTATCTTTCTAGTTCCTGCTGAACTGCTTTTCTTTTCCAGATAGCACTCTCCAAATATTGTCCCTCCTGCAGTTTTATTTCTTACCTTTTTTCATACTGTTGTAAACTCTGCAGTAGAAAATATGCTGCATCTCTGTACACAAAGACGTGCTACAATCTATGTTTATTAATAGTTTAAAACTCAGTTGAAACAGAATGGTACTTGCAGGTAATGTATCTCTTTATTAAACTCTGTAGTATGTAATTACATCCTTGTCCTATACAATATGGCAGTCTACAAAGTGCAAATAGCTGATATCCCTTAATAAGCTGTCACGGGAATCCCTCTACATACTTCTCAGCACCGCTATGAGAAATATTAAATAGTTGCTGGAAAAAACCAATATCCAGGATCATAAAGAAATGTGGTAAATTCCAGCCCTAGTAATTCTGAACACTGTCAGGATTTGCAGTTCAGGTTTCTTTGATTGTTTGCATTTGTGGCTTGAGTTTGCTTTTGGCTACATGGAAAAATGTTTAGACTATAGAAGGGACCTCTGGAGGTCAGATATTCTAGCCTCTCACTCAAAGAAGTCCTATCAACAACAATAGATTAGGTCAGACGTATTTCTGTTCAGCCAAGTCTTGAAAATCTCCAAGGATAAAAAGTTCATGATCTCCTGGGCTGCCTGTTCCAAAATACACTGCCCTCCTAAATGAAAGCTCTATATCAGCTTAGTGAGAATATAGATTATCAGCTTGACATCTAACTTACCAAGTGATCTCCCATGGATCTCCTCAGTGGAAAGCAGTAAGTTCTTCAATCAAACAAACAGAGTAAGGACTTTGACCCTGAGAATTTTTCCATAGGCAGGTCTGTCTTCATCGCAGTAGAGTCACCTTGGGAAGACTTGAGCAGCTAAAACACAAATGCTCACAGTTGATCAACAGGATACCAAACATTACCTTAAAATTAAAAAAAATGCATGCCCAGCTCTAGGCTTGCTGTGTAACAAATGGATGTGTGTAAAATATTATATCCATCAAGCATTATTTGCAAGAGAATTAAAATCTATTGTGCAATTAATTTATCTTAAGATTTAATACTTAAAAAAGATTTTGTCTTTGCTAAGGGTTTTATTTTCTTTAAACCAGATATGGTGACATGGTGCCGAAGACAATAGCTGGCAAGATTTTTGGTTCAATATGCTCCTTAAGTGGGGTCTTAGTGATTGCTCTGCCAGTTCCTGTAATTGTCTCCAACTTCAGCCGTATCTACCACCAGAACCAACGAGCAGACAAGCGGAGGGCACAAAAGGTGAGCTTCTCAATTTTTTGCCTTTTGATACTGACAGTAGCTTAAAAGTAAATTTTTATGTGTCTCAGAAGTGAGTATGATTTATTACGAAGATGACTGCTATATGTATACATTACATGCCAACCCAGAGTTCCAGATGGGTTATTAATCCTGTGTTATTTTTAATTTAAATAAAAATGGTTTATCTTTTTTTTCTCAAAATGTACAGTTGTAATTACAGATGTAATTCATCCTAATTGTTAGACCAGATCTACTATTTTTAGGCAGTACCTGCAGTACTGCCTACTGAAAGCATCATTTTTCAGGAAAACTTTCTTTCCTCAAGAGTGCTTTGAAAAGAAAAAAAAAAAAAACAAAACACCTAAAAAACCTAAGCATTACTTCTAATGTCTATCTTAACAGCCAGTTTCAATAATCCATTTATTTAATTCCCAGGTTGACTCTCTGGGGAATCTGACTATTGGGAACTTGTCTCCTTAGCACTTCTTTGCTTAAAAGGCTTCAGAAAAAGCTGAATCAGAAAAAGACAAAAACAAAAGTCTTTTTTTTTTCCAGCTTTCTTGGTGACTGATACCACTAAAATATCAACTAGCTCTATGACAAAACATTTTTTCTCCCTGACCTACATGCACAAGGTCAAGAATCAGGAAGACCTATTTACCAGAAAAGATGCCAGCCAAGCCAGAGCAGCACCACTGTTTCCATCTAAAATGCCAGTCCCAATCCACTTTACTCAGCCTTCTGATGAGAAATGTCTTATATGGCCTCTCTTAACACCTGAAGCCCTGATAAGAGATTGTGACTGTTCTGCTATTTACTCTATGGAAAAGGTTCAGCATCCAGTGGGCCCAGAGGTTCTGAGGGGTTCAGTGAGAGTGGGATCCCTGCCCACAGAGGTGTGCAGGCAGGTCATGGCTGAGGAATACATATGTTGACCAAGGGAACAGAGGCTGCATCTGCTTCATAAAGACAATAGCAATTAGTTTAGAGATAATAACATGAAAAACAAAAATTTCTTATTCCTGGCCACCTTTTTGACTGATGATTCCATAGAAAGGAAGGAAACAAACATAGTGATATAAGTCTTGGAAAATCTTAGAATCAGGAGAGACAGAGATACACTGCCAAGAAAGTCAATCATAGATCTCGGGTGAAGACGTTGTATCCTTTAAATAGCCACATCTTGAGAGACTTAGGAAAATGGCCACCAAAGAGAACAGGGGTATCCCAGAGACACTTAGAAACCTGATTTCAAATATAGGCTGTTTCAGTGCTCCAAGTATCACCTCTCTCCTATCTAATTACACACATCCTTTAGCATCGTTTTGTCCTATGTCCCAGTCATATACTCCCTTCTCCCACAACTGGAAAACATAGAGAACACATAACTTTTACACTACATTGTTTTTGTAGAGAATTTTTCATTTCTATTATGTAATGGCAATAAAGAGTGAACGAACTGTATGTACCAGCAGAACACAGTGCTTCATTACTATGCCTCAGAGCATTGTGCCAGTCATGGATAACAGATCTGCTTGATCTCAGCAATCAATGTGCCTGTTCTGACTTTCATGACTGCACAACCAGCCTTACTTCAGATACACACAGCCTCCTACTGTATAATGTTGAATAAATTTTTCTATATCTGATTTGCACTTTACAGTGAAAAAGAGATGGAAATTGGGAAATACCTGACAAAAATTAGATTGGCAGACTGGCAGATATTCCCTATAGTCTTTTCCTGAATAGAAACTGTTTAATAACCGATTTTCTGTCCTTGAAAAACAGTGAGCTCATTGTATGTCACAAACAGGAATGTGAAGTGATGAATGGCAATTCTGCAAAATCTTGTTTCCTCTGCTCCCCAGAACAATGCCAAGAGTAAGGATCACAGATTTACTCTGACCACGTGTATATCCTTCTTGCTTTAGAAAAAAATGGCTTTAAGGTCTGGTTAATGTAGCACTAGGTATGTTTCATTGATTTCTCCTATTGCAAAATTTCTCTCTTATTTTAAAACGACTGAGAGGATATGAACTGAATATTGCTCTGAGGGACTGAAAGAAAAGTCAGCAAAAAGAACTTACTGAATACACACAGTCTGTATTTATCAATATTCACCTATGAAGTATAGACTTGCATATCATAGAAGAGCTCTACTGCTTTTGTATAAGATGTCCAGGCCACCATGTTGTCTGCAAGCCACGATCATACCACAGCAGGAGGCACTGAGGCAATGGCCCTGCCCAGCCTGCCATCCCTTACAGAGCTCCCTCCAATTTTGCCTCCCTCACTTGGCTATTGGCTGTGGCTCAGCAAAATGTCCTGGCAGTGAAGGGGCCTGGTCTAGCAGGTAGAGATGAGCAACAGCAGTAGTAAGAGAGCACTACCAACAGCAGCACTGTGACTTAAACAAGACTACGTTACAATTAAGAAAGATCCAGTGCCGTATATCTGTGCAGAACCCTTACCATCTAATATCCCAACAGCAAAGTGCCATTCAAGGAACCTGAAATGACTCCCTTTGAAGGTGGCTATTATCATAGGAAATTAATATTCTCTAAAGAATTTCCTTTTAAACCTCTTAGTATTTATATGATTACAACTATTGAAAGGTTTGAGTGTAACAGAAGGCTATGTCTTTCAATCACTGATTTCCACCATAATTCATGGAACAGCTTGGTCAGTTTCAACAATGTTGATGGGCTGTCTTAGTTTTACAGTAGAAAAGGACCTCACAGTGGGTAGCAGAGTTCACAAAAACTACTCATTGCACGAAGTTTAGCATTCAGTGGTCTATTAGCACCTGCCAACCATCCAGGCCTCCAGCAGGCCAGTCTAAATCATGGATTCTTAGGTGGAGCATTGGAAGAATTATTTGTTAGTTGGATTTGCGGTCTTTGCCATACAATCAAATATGTACTGAGAAATGTAGTTGCAAGAATGAGTGGAAAAGAAATCCAAGACCAAATTAGGGGTAGTTCCTGAGCAAGTGAGACTCTGAGCATCTGACTTTTGACACTAGGATAAACTATATTTTTAATTTGTTTCGTGCCAGGAAACTACAGGCCTGTCAGCCTTACCTTCATCCCTGGGAAGGTGATGGACAACTTATGTTGTTCAAAATACAGCATAAACGCTTGCAAGAGATGGTACCTTCTGTTTGCTACAACAGGCTTCCGTCTAGCTAAGAAAACTGGATATTGGAATTGTGGAAATTCCTTTATCAATACCTCATAGATAAATTCAATCAAGGTAGCCTTTAGAAATGACCAAACATTTGGGCTGTAAGGAAACTTGATAGAATTCAGTGAAGTGCTAAAAACTAATCTTAGGAGATAGGAGACTTATTGAAGATCCATGTGATCACCAACACATGCATTTACTGAATTCTGTGCTGTCCTTCAAGATTAGAAAATAAAATAATGCTGCACATTAATGCTTGAGAGAAGGAAGTGAAATTTATAAACATATCATCTCATTTTGAATGCATTTTAAAGGAAAATCCTACTTTCAATTATGAAAATGCATTGTTGTAAAAGAGACCTCAATATAAACAATAAATAAAAAATAAAAATAAAAAAGGAAAAGGAAAAAAAAAATTATTATCAGAACATTTTCCTCTATCAGCTATTGATGTCCAAGAATCAGTACTTATCTGGCAATAGATAGATAAATAATACAACCTACATACAGGAGTTTGCACTCAGGGCTTAACAAATTATTGTCTACAGTCTTATTTTGCTTTTTCCTCAAGCAGATTTATCAGAAGTGTAGACAGTTTTGAAGAATGCTGCTTTTCTCAGCTAGAGACAACTGCAGGAGGTCAAGTTATTTTCATTTCTCATCAGTGCCTTCAAGTGGCAAATTTAATGACAGATGTGTTGTGACTGGTCCATACGGAAACACAAATGGAAACACAAACAGAAACATGACTGCTAGCTCCAAAATCTGACTTAATGCATACAATTCAACCTGATTCTTTCATATTATTATGGTCTTCTGCTTTCACATTGGAAAATACTTTGTAAAGATTGGCTGGGCTCATATTTCTTTATTTACTGGTTATACATGATGTATTTTTCTATCAAGCTATAAATAATTAGGTACTAGATAAATATAAATACAAATTACAATAACTGCTTAACAGCACCTAGAGCCAAGCTTTTGCAATAACGAACTATGCTACCAATGCAATTTATTTTAGCTTAAATAGGGTATTAACCTCAGTGAAGTTGTAGAGATAACCAGTGGAATAGCTTACCTAAGATCTTTGAAATTCAGCAAAAAAGCACTCAAGTTTACTGAGTTTGAATAGAGTGTGAAAGCAAGGTGCAACTCTTGAACCTTTTTAAATTGCATATCCACTAACATACAAAGTAAACAGCATTTTCCTCTCTACTGCATGCAGATGTTCTATAAATTATTTTCTGTAATCTGAAGTTAACTACTAGCAATTACTGAAAATGAGAAAAATCAGAGCCTGATTTTCACTTGAAAGCAAATATATACAATGGATTTATGAAAGACCAAATAAACAAATGACTTAAACACAATGGGACTAACCTTCAGATCACTTTTACCATTGCTGTAAGAGCCACAGAAAGGCTATGAAGGAATTTTTGCTTTCTAATTGTACAAGATCATTAAAGAAATAACACCTGTAAGGTAAGTACGTTTTCAGTTTTTGATACCAAGACAATTAAGTAGTCTGGAGAGCAGCAGAAGGGAAACAAAAGGAGCTATGTAGTATTAGTTTTAAAGGGGCAGGCTATCTCAATTCTTGCATAGCAGACAGAAGAGAGGCTCTTGTCAAAAAATGATTCCCAGTACCATGACAAGTTGTGCCCTGAAGTATTTCTGATAAAATCTCTCTTACCATCCTGAGGGTATCTTGAGTGCTTAAAACTGGATATTGTAAATATCCCATGGCACAACGTTTAGTGCTGTTTAAAACCTTGTGAAATTGTTTATTTCTAAACTTTCTAAAACTGACAGTCACCAAAGAAAAGTGTTTCCCTTTTGTATGATTCCTATTATTGCAGTCGTTGTCAGGACTCACCTTTAAGTTACAAAATTAGAAAATAGAAAATAAAGCAAAGCATTCAAAAGAATTCAGGGGAATACAGGGGATGCTGTAAGAATTGAAGCTGATCATTAGTTCTGTTAGAAAGTTTCATGTTAGATTATGGTGGAATTTCATCCCATTAAAAGAACTTCATTTTAGCTCATGGTTTTTTCCCTAGACACTGTAAAAATTACCAAAATCAAGGTTTCACACTGAATGGGTAACGTTGAAAGCCTCACAGCAAAGCAGATAACCTATTGCAGGAGAATTTAATCCCTTCCCTTTTTTGCCAGATATTCCCATGAAAGGACAGTTAGAAAGGACACTGAAGTGATTGAAAGAGACAGTTACCACTTCTTTTGTGCTGTACATGACAGAAAAGACTGAAAACTAAAAAAAAAGTACAATTCTT